AGAGAATCGAGTCACTTGTCCAAGGTCACATGGAAAGTAAACACTAGAGGATTGATTCCAAATTCAGAGGACTCTTAGTTTCAAATCCCACTTCTAGCCATTGCACCATGTTGCCTCTAACATTTAGGTAAAAATATCCACTTCACAAATACAAAACAAAGCAAGGCTAGACAGCAATTTGTGTGAAAAAGGTCTGGGACTTTGAGCACCATGTAAGTCAGCAGTGTCCTATGGCAGCCTAATGTCATCTTATGCAATATTCAGAGAGTCATTGCTCCCAGGACCACAGAGCCAATAATAACATTAGTCAACACTGCTTAAGCCACCTCTGGGTGGAACATTTTTAGGAAGGTCCTTGATAAACAGGAGAGCATCCTGAGAGGGACGACCAGGATGTTGGAGAACGATGGATTTCAAACTGGAAGGAACTTAAAGATCAAGAGCAGGGATGGACATTAGAAGTCATCTGGTCCAAACCCTTCTTTTTACAAATGAGAAAATAGAGACAGAGAGGTAAGTGTCTTACACTTACAAGGTCATACAGTAGCAGGAGGCAGAGTCAAGGCCTGAATGCCTGTTCCCTGACTCCAAATCTAGCCCTCTTCCCATTGCTCCATGTTTCTTTGAGACCATTACATAGAAAAATCATTTGAAGGAACTTGGGATGGTTAGCCTAGAAAAGAAGCATCTTGGGGACAGCTAGGTGGTGCAGTGGATAGAGCATCGGCCCTGAAGTCAGGAGGACCTGAGTTCAAATCCAGCCTCAGACCAAACACTTGACACGGACTAGCTGTGTGACCTTGGGCAAGTCACTTAACCCCTATTGCCTCACAAAAAAAAAAAAAGAAAAGAAAAGAAGCACCTTGGGGCAGCTAGGTGGTGCAGTGGATAGAACTCTGGCCTTGAAGTCAGAAAGACCTGAATTCAAAGCCTCAGACACTTGATGCTTACTAGCTGTGTGACCCTGAGCAAGTCGCTTAACCCCACTCGTAAAGAAGGAAGAAGAAAGAGAATTGTCTCAAGGGGGAGTGTGAGAGTTTCCTTCAAGCATTTGAAGGGTTGTTCTGTGGAAGAGGAGAAAACGGCTTGTCGTTGTTGTGCTTGGTCCCAGAGGAGAGAACTCCTGGTAGATGACAGCTGCAGAGAGGCCCATTTCTGCTCAGTCTGAGGTAACGCTTCCTGGCCCTAGGAAGTCCAAGTGGAATCAGCTGCCGTGGGAGGAGACGGGTGCTTAAAGCAAAGGCATGTGTTGTAGCGGGTTCTTTGTCGAGATCTAGATGGTCCTCTGAGATGCCCCGTTTCTGCCAGCAGCAACTTGGCAGCCAAAAGGATGAATTCCCTCTGTTGGCTGTATGGAGAGAGGTGATAGCATCTAGATGGAGGAAGTTACCAGCTGCTATGTACCTTCCCCAGATCTAGCACATCTGAGTTCGGTCCTGGGCGTGACCAGGGAGGTAACTGGCAAGTTTGAGCTCATCTGGAGGAGGGTGGCCAAGAAGACAAAAGGGACCTGGAAGCCGTGCCCCATACCTCTTGAGAACTGGTTGAAAGAATGGGGGTATTCTGCCTTAAGAAAAGTAGTATGATCGTGATAATTGCATTCATGAAACTGAAACTCTGATTTGGCTCCAGAGGCAGCTAGTAGACAGAGTACCAGGTCTGGAATCAGGAAGACCTGAGTTCAGATCCAGCCTCAGATACTTACTGGCTGTGTGACCTTGGACAAGTCACTTAACCTCTGTCTCAGCTTCCACATCTATAAAATGGGGATAATAATAGCATATACTTTTCAGGGTTGTTGTAAAGATCAAATGAGATAATTGTGAAGCACTTAGTACAATGCTTGACACTTAGTAAGTCTTATGAAAATGTTAGCTTTTAATTAGTCATAGTGGTGATAATAATAATCATAAATATTTATGATTGAATTGAATTATACCACAGAGCTACCAAGGGAAATTCCAGTAGTTAATTTGTCAGCCAGAGCAATTTCAAAAGGTCTTACTAGGCCCCATTGAGCCTCTTCTCCCTCTACCAAAGGCCCTTTGTTATATTGTATTGTTTTAAATAATTACACCCAAACAATTTGCATCGTTAGTCCACCATCTCTTTTGCAAGAGGTAGAAAGTATGATTCATCATTGATCTTTTGGACGTATTTTTGTTCATGTCTTGAATCATCGCTCTTAAGTCTTTCAAAGCTGTTTTCCTTTACAACGTCATAGACTATGTAAATTGTTTTCCTGATTCTGCTTTGTTTACTCTGCATCGGTTTATACAAGTCTTCCCAGGCTTCTCAGAATCCATTCATTTCATTGTTTCTAACGGCATAAAATACATCATTGTGTTCATATACCACAATTTGCTTGGCTATTCCCCCAGTTGATGGGTATTCCCTTTGTTATCATTTCTTTGCTACTGCAGAAAATGCTGCCATAAATATTTTTACACAAATGGTTCCTTTCTGTCTTCACTGTTTTTGGGGGTACAAGACTTGTAGTAATATCACTGGGTCAAAGTTTTGTAACTTTGGGGGTGTAGCCTTTAATTGTTTTCTGGAATGGCTGGACCAATTAACAGTACTTCCAATAACGGATTAGTGCGCCTTTCTTCTCATAACTCCTTGAAAAGTGGCTACTTTCCTATCTTCTTATCTTTGCAAATCTGAGGCATGTAAGGTAAAACTTCAGAACTATTTTAATTTGCATTTTGCTTATTAGTGATTTGGAACCTTTTAAAAAATAAAACTGCCTATTCGTATCTTTTATCTATTGAGGAATAGTCCTTGTTCTTATAGATTTTAATCAGTTCCCTAGATAGCTTGGATACCAGATTTTTATGAGAAAAGTTTGGTACAAAGAATTCTTCCCTGTTAAATTATTCCCTTATACTGATTTTTGTGCAAAACATTTTTCAGTTTTACATAATCAAAATTGTTTATTATATCTCCCGTAGTTCTTTCTGTCTTTTGGTCAAGAACTCTTCCCCTTGTCATGGTTATGAAAGGTATCATCTTTACTGTTCCTTTTTTTTGGTTTATTTATTATATGACCTTTTATGTCTAAGTCATATATCTATTTGGAGCTGAAGTGTTTGGCTAAACTGAATTTATGCCAGACCACTGGCCAGTTTGCCTAGCACTTTTAGTCAAAGAGTGAGTCATTACCTTCACAGTAGTTAGATCTTTGGATTTATTAAACACTATACTACTAAATCTATTTGCTTCTGCATTTTATATACCTAATTGGTGCCATTGATCAGCTTTTTCTATTTTTTAACCAATGCTAAGTATTTATAGTGATTACTGCTTTTTAGTGTAATATAAAATCTGGTCTTACTAGGCCCCCTTGTTTCCCTTTTTTTTCCCGTTACTTCCCTTGAGATTCTTGACCATGTGTTAACTTTAGATGAATTTTGATTTTTTTTCTAGTTCTGTAAACTAATCCTTTGGCGGCTTGATTAGCATGGCACTGAATAAGTAATTTAACTTAGGTAGAATTCTCTTTTTTGTATATTTATATGGCTCAATCATGAATAATTACTATCTCCCCAATTATTTAGGTTTGTCTTTATTTCTGTAAAGCCTTATTTTGTATGTGGTTATATTCATATAATATATATTTTGGTATGTGCACTCCTTATTTTATAAGTCCTGTAGTTATTTTGAATGGAATTTCTCTTTTTAGCTTATCCTGTTGGTTTTTGTTGGTAAGATATAAAAATATGGGTGATTTATATGGGTTTGTTTTATATCCAACCACTTCGTTGACTTTATTGTTTCAATTAATTTTTAGTGGAATCTCCAGGATTCTTGAGGTAAATCATCCTATCACCTGCAAAAATCAGTATTTTGTTTCTTTTTGGACTGTGCTTATTTCCTCAATTTATTTATTTTTCTTGTTGTAGCTAGCATTTTGACATATATATGAAGTACCAGTGGTGACAGTGGACAAAGTTGCTTTACCCTTGTTCTTAGTGGAAAAGGCTTTGCCTTTCTCCATTACAGATAATACCAGCTTTTGAGATAGAAATCATTTCTCACATTAAGGAATAGTCCACTGATTCTTATCCTTCTTACCATTTTTAACATAAACAGGTGGTGTATGTCGTCAAAAGTCTTTTTCTGCATCTGTTGATAAAATCGATAGGATTCTTATTGTTTTTGTTATTAATATTATCAGTTATATTTATTGTTTTCCTAATATCAAACCAACCCTGTATTCTTGGTACAAGTCTAACCTGGTTACAGTATATAACCTTTTGGCTATGCTGTTGTAGCTTCTTTGCTAAAATCTTTTTTCCATTATTTTTGCATATGTATTTATTAGAAATATTGGTCTATAGTTTATCTCTCTCTGGTTCAGATATCAGGACCATATTTGTCTAACAAAAGGAGTTTGATGGGATTCTTGCTTTTCCTATTTTCGCAAATAATTTATGTAATATTGGAATTAATTTTGAGTGTTTAATAGATTTCACTCATAAATTTATCTGGTACTTTTTTTTCCCTTCAAACTGTCTCTAGTTTTTGTCAGCACATAATTGGGCAAAATAGTTTCTAATTTCCTTCATTTCCTCTTCATTTGTTGTGGGTTTTTTTTTATCTTTTCTATTAGCAATTTGATTTTCCTCTCCTTTTAAAAATCAGATTAGCTAAAGGTTTATTTTTTATTTGTTCAAAAAACCATCTCCTAAGTGTATTGATCAATTCAAAGGGTTTTTAAAAAAATTTCATTTATCTTTTATTCTTAGACTTTCTATTTTTGTGATTAATTGTGGTTTTTTATTAGTTGCTTTTCAGGTTTGTTTGGGGGTTTTTTTGTTGTTGTTTCATTTCCAGTTTATTGCTCTATTCCTTCTCCCTTTTGTTGATGAAAGTGTTGTGTTTAAACGTATGGATTTTCTCCTAAGGATTCTCTTTAGTGCTTTCCCAGGAATACAAGATTTATTTTGTTGTAAATATCGCCTGTTTACTAGAACTTGTCTTCTTATGCTTTCCAGATTTTCAGCTGATGGAAGACTAATAGTGTCATGTAGTGAGGATAAGACCGTTAAAATCTGGGATACAACAAATAAACTGTGCATTAATAGCTTTACAGACTCCGAAGGGTAAGTCAAGCCATTCTGGCACATTTGGGTGCTTGTGCTTTGTTACAGAAGACTTTACTCTTCTATTATTGCAATCTTTTACTTAATGAAAATGACAGTGCCTGACATCTGATTCATTTTTCCTGATAGGTTTGCGAACTTTGTGTCTTTTAACCCCAGTGGTACGTGCATAGCTTCAGCAGGTTCTGATCATACAGTGAAACTCTGGGATATAAGAGTAAACAAGTTACTTCAGAATTACCAAGGTGACAATTTCTAAAGCATAGCAAATCAAGTCTTTCTAGAATCCTCCTCAAGCCTCTGAACCTCTTTGTGGCCTAGCGTGGTCCTTTTAACGAGTCCCCAAAGTGGTACCAGTCTGCCTTTGTACTGCTCTGAGAAAGTCCACAGGCTTTAGACAATTGCTTTCTTTTCAGTATCCCAGGGATGTAAACAGAGAGCCATTTCTGTTGATTTTCTTGATCAGGTAACCATTGAAATGACTATTTTCTTTCACTTTTTAGCTGGCCGGCACAGATTACGTATTCTTGTTCCTATTATGAATAGACTTTTAAAAAAGTTTCTAAGGGGTTCGGAACAGATTTCTGTTGCTCTGGCTCCATCCGTAACTGATCAGATGAGATAAGTGCCAATGGTGGGAAACCTGGGAGTCCTAGAAATGGAGGAAAGGTAATTCCCTCTGCTGTAAACAGATCCCTTGCTACCAAATCCCAGGTTGTAAGTCTACTGCAGGTGAGCTCCTGAAGGCCAGGGTCCACATCTGAATGAATGAAAGGCATTTATTAAAGACTTATTCTGTGCCAAGCACTGTGCTAGGCCCTGGGGATGTAAATACATTGTCTTTCTATCTCCCCTATTGTCTAATACAAGGTTTTCTTTTCCCCCTTCATGGTAGGTACTTACTAAATGTAAGGCCGGCTGAATGAGCCCTGTTCTTTGGGAGTGACTCCAGCCTGAATTTAAGGCAGAAATCCATTGTTGTTGGGTTTTTTTTTCATTCCCATCAAATGTATTCTTATATTTCCCAAGGACAATTCTCTTCTACCACTTTCTGTGTTTGGTGCCTTCCTTATCTCCTCTTACTAATTGAATTGGTTTTTAGCTTTGGAGCTGTTAGATATATTTTCCAAGCTAGTAATAAGAACTTGATAGGGATGTTGGATATGTATCCAATACATTACTCTTTCATGACACACTCCCATTTTCCAAGGGCTCTTGTCAAACTAGACCAGAACCACGTCTCCTTGATGTCAAAACAACCACATAAGCCAGTTATTCAGATATTTTGCTTACGTGATGCCAAATAACCAATTTATTTTAATTTTTAATAAAATTTAATTTTATTGAGACAATCTGCAGCAAAATAACCTCTTTTAAAATGAAACTTTTACTCCCTTACAATGGGGGTAAAGATACTACTTTGAAATTCTAGAACCTATTTAGAGTTTTCAAGATGTAATTGACATCTGAATGTCTCTTTTTTCCCTCATGTAAATCAGTTCACAGTAGTGGAGTCAACTGTTTGTCATTCCATCCTTCGGGTAACTATCTCATCACTGCCTCATCCGATGGCACTCTTAAAATCTTGGATCTCGTCGAAGGAAGACTCATCTATACGCTTCAAGGACACACGGTACAGGCAATGACATTTTACATTTTTAAAAAGATACATTTCTTTAAATCCTGACGATATTATGTCTTATCATCCCTCTTGTTTCAGTATGCCTTTTTTTGCTGCTGTTATCAAAGAAGTTGCCTTTATGTGATTGCATAATGTCATTTCGAATTGAACAGCTCCTAATATGCTGGATATTCTTGGGGTTTCTCTCGTATTCGTTAGCCACTCAACCCCTCATTGTATTCATGACTATATAAATAGGTTGGATATGGTCTGTTTTCAAGGAAAAGTCTTGAATAATCTTCTAAGTGCATAACTTCTCATAATTTTCTCTGGAGCTTTCTTTATATACTTGAGATTGCCTTTTTTCAAAATAGGAGTTTGAAGATTGGATCTCAAAGTAGAATTGTATTGAAGGTACTAAGAGAGAAAGGGCTCATTCTGCACTAGGATGGTATATTATACATTTCCTGACTTGTTTCCTACTTTGCTCATAGCAGCTGGTGAGTCAGGTGGTACAGGTGGTATCATTCCCATTTCATAGATGAAGGAACCGAGACTTCACGAGGTTAAATGACATGCTTGTGGTCACTAAGCGTCTGAGATTCAAACTCAGATCTCCTAACTTTGAGCCCTGGACACTTTCTGGTATGCCATATTTAAATTAGATAAAGCAGGAATAAATTATAAACATTTTTTATAATAACAAAATCAGTAGCCAACAGCCCCTAGCTACACGTGTGAAAGAAAATTATGTGTTGCAAAAACAGTGTTATGAACTTAGATTAACCTAATTCTAAACATTTCTGCTTAGAGAGTGGTCCGAAGATAGTCAAATTTACCTCCATCTCTGAAAATTCTTGAACAAAATAATTTTAGAGGGAGTCTCCTCAAACAGAATAACATAAGGACAAACAAGAATAACTTATGTTATTACAATATTACAAATATTAAAATAATGTCATTGAGCCTCAGAGAACCATATACTGTAATCATTTACTCCTCATTTGACCTCTTTTGGCCTTCTAAAAGATTCTGGTTCTGCCCCGTCAAAAATGAGATCAAGGGACAAGAATCAATGTAGAGTGGAGAGACTCCATATGTTTCCACAGATAGGTCAAAAGAAATTTAATAGGTTAGTGAAAGGAGTACATAGAACAGGAGGGCACGTTCGACATAATAGTAGAAAGGGGAAAGAGAAAAACTATGCAAATCACTGTTCTTAACTCTGGCTGTTGAATTCTTTGAATATTTGGCTTTAATAGTAAGTGGAAGTGTTCCTAAAAAGAAGGGGACAAGAAGCTGGACTTGTTAGGGGAGGGGCAGCAGGAATGCATGACATGGGTTTCCTCCTCTGCTCTAGCCCTTCCAGCGTCACTAGGTGCCCCCTTGACGCTTACTGAATGGCTCTGGGGTTGGCTGCCAGGGGCGGGATGGACCGTGAAAGGAGAACCTTGCCCCCCAACCTATGCGTCAGGGAATCTTCTCATTTTTGGTGGAGTGAATGAGGTCAAGGTGGGAGAACAGCCCAAAGGGCCCTTTGGGGTGGCTGCCCTAGACACACTGACCAGGCAGTGTCCCAAAGGAGTGAGACACACACACCCTCCAGGGGAGGAGGACACCCAGCAGCAGATGTCAACTCTGACAGGTGGGACAGCAGCAGGGCAGGGATGCACAGATGATGGCTTTGGAGGCAGAGGGGGCAGCAGGGAGGCCTGTGGCTGGTTGGCAGAAGATAGACCCAGAAGAGGCGACCTAGCAAGGATGTAGCCCTGAGAGTGTGAGATGGCCAGAAAGCACCCATTCTTCCACCGGCAGCAGGGCAGCCTATGGGAGATTGTATCCCTTTGTTTTGGGGGCTGAGAACTTTTCTTCTACACAGTTTTCCCTTGTTATTTATTTTTATGTTCTGTAGTAATTAAAAACCTTGGCATTTGGTTTATGGCTCTTGGTCAGTGTTGGTAGAAAAGGTTGGATGTGGGGTCAAGCTATTTTTGCATATGTTTGATTTCTCAAAATACCCCACACTGAACCTAGGAGTATAGAGGAGTTTCAAAGTGATATGGAAACTGTCTGCTTTTATAGGATGGGTCCTACGTTATAGATCCTGAGAGGCAATGTGTCAGGTAGAGCGCTCAACCTAAAGTCAGGAGACCTGGCTTTGAATCCTGCTTCAACGTTTTCTAGCAGTTGGACCACAGGCAGGTCACTTGGCACTCAGAGATTCGGTTTCCTCATCTTTAAAATGGATCTAGTAATATTATACTACACACTTTGCAGAACCATTTTGAAGTGGTATGCAAACCTTAAAAATGTTATATAAATGTGAGCTATTGTCATGGTTAAAAGTTACCAATACCATTCCACTTAATTAAAGAGATCATTGACTAGTATAAAAGAAAAATTTTCTGATTTCTCATGCAACAGGTTGCTAGATTTAATTTTAGAAGCTTAGAGGTGCAAAGAGATAGTATGTGAGAGTTTTCAGAAAGCTTCAGTAGTTTACTCATGAATTGAGATGTACTTTATGTGACAATTATGAGGTCTTCCAAAGTCTTCTAAAGGCTAGATGTTACTATTATTCATATTCTATTTGCCGATATTATTTTGGAGGTAAGACATCATTGCTTATTATTTTAACTCAGAAGTTGGCCTAGATTGAATGTATTAATCCCTTGATTCTATGGGGAAGTAATCACCTCTACCAGGAAAACTTTTTTCACTCTTGGGTAGTATATGTGTCTATGTCCATCTGTACAGACCATCACTAAGTTGGACCAGATGGTGTGAGGCTATAGCCTCTTAATCTTCCTAGAGTTATTTGCACTGACCTCTCTGATTCTCTGTGAGACTGAGGCTCTCTTTCCCACTCAGGCGGTAAATGCAGCAGCCACTCATGGGTTCAATCCCAGTAGTGATCATCCCAGAAAGTATGATCTACTCTGGTTTTCTGATCTGAGTGGGCCCATCCCTCCCTCAGGCAGCCTGGTGGCCTTTCACTCCCAGAGGCTCACCAGCTTTGTGTGGACGCCCAGTTGATTGGCGTTAGCCCTGATGCAGCTCAGCACTCCTGAGCTCAAGCACTCCGCCAGCCTCAGCCTCTCTGGCCACAGAGGTGCACTGTCGGTGTATACCACCACTCCTGGCTGTCTCCTTTTTTTTTTCCCCCCAAAAGAATGCTTGCTAAAAAAAATACATCTTTAATTTGTGGAGCCTAAGGAAGCATTTCAGAGTAAAGTAAAGAACATTGTGACATCAAAAGTAAAATGACTGAGGGCATGGGACCCACTGGTTAGCAGGTTCCCCCTGCTTGGAGGTCTGTTCCCAGGGTTCAGTTCCTTAAGCCTTGAGCTCCTTTCCTTCTGCATCTGAATCTGCAGCTTCTCTGAATGCAGCTGCTGCTGCTGTAGGTTTTATAAAGGTGGTGGTTCCTATGTACAGATCGTTTTGTAAGTGGGAAATTGTCCATGTTTAACTTGGAAGGTATATTAAAAGCAAACTGAAATTGGAAAAACAGAAAGCAAACATACTTTTTTATGTCAAGCTGTCCTTTAAAGGGCAAATGCCATGTATATTTCAGTGTGAAGTGAGTGTTGGATTGATGACCATTAAAAAGTCTAAAGGACTTTTAATTTATTCACTGCATCCATGGGAGAAGCAGACAGAGAAACCCAAGTGAAGACTTTGGAGTAGGAAATGACCTGTGTTCATATGTTGGCATCCCAGCCCATTCCTTGAAATGTCTGCTGCTGACATGAATGCTTCCCAGCATGGAAAAGGAATGATTAAAGATGAAAGAGATTATGATATATTTTCTTGTTATAATTTATAATTGGTTCAAGGTTATTTTAAGATTGTATGCTAACTGTCAGCAGCTGGTGTTCAACCAGAGGTCTTTTAGAGTCTGGTTTCTATAAAGTGAGATGAAAAATAGACTGTCAGTACTCTCTATAATCTTGTGTATCCTAGAGCATCATTGAGCAATTCTCCTTTTTCCTTCCTGTACCCTCCCATTCTCTAGGGACCCGTCTTTGCCATTTCCTTTTCAAAAGATGGCCAGCAGTTCACATCTGGAGGTGCTGATGCCCAGGTTTGTGAGCTCCCTCAACTCTCTGGGACCCTTTGTCTAGAGAAAATGCTGACCTCAGCTGAGTTTGACGCTGCTGCCACGCTACACATTTTTGCCATTTGAGGCAGCTAGGTGGTCAGACCTGAGATGAATTATAAAGATCTTCTGAAAAAAAACATCAAAAGGTTGCATTTTGATGCCCCACCTCATCTTCTTGATATCTACCCAAGAACCTCTCATCACCATGGTAGAAAACCTGAATCAATTGAGGTTAGTATTAGCTATTTCCTGAGAAGATTAAGGCTGTCAGACTGAGCTCAGGCACTTACTAGATGTGTGACCCTGAGCAAGTCACTTAATCTCTGTTTGCCTTAGTTTCCTCATCTGTGAAATGGGGATTGTAATAATAAATACCTACCTCTCACGGTTGCTGTCAGGATAAAATGAATTTATGTTTATAAAGCTTAGCATAGTGCCTGGCACACAGTAGGTGTTTAATAAATACTAGCTGGCAGTAGCGAAAAGTTATTCATAGCTGAATAAGATGGGTGATCAAACTCAGTGATACTATTTGGGGTCAGAAACATGACATATGACATTTTTTTTTTTAATGTGGATCATAAACTAGCCTTGGTAGCAATTCCCCTGAAATAGCATTTCCAAGTAGAGAGAAAGCACCAGATGCTGTGTCTGAAGGCCTGGGATTTGAGACCTGGTTCTCCTACTTCCTCGAGGTGTGGCTGGGGGCCCTGCCCAAGGCTTTGGTTTTCTTCTCTCTGTAGTGAGGGGCTTGGGCCTGATGGTCCCATTGGTGCTTCCCACCCGGACCCTTCTGTGGTTCTATGGCATTCTGAGCCCCAGTAATAATGGCAGGATCCATTCGTTGCTTCCCACCTTCTGCACCCTGAGGAATGCCATGCATTCAGATGCACAAGCTCTGCTATGCTTGATACAGAAAGCGGGACTTGATAGTTTCACTCAAAAAATACTTTGCGTTTGTATCCCATTTCATAGCGTTCCAACTGAAGTCCAGTTGTCTAGTGGGAAGTCACCATAATGCACTGGAATCTTATCAGACTAATTGGGCTTTGGGATTCCTTTTAAAATCAGATATGTTTTTAATTTTTATCCTAAAAACATTAATTGTCTTTATTATTCACTTTTCTTTAGATTTTATTGTGGAAGACAAATTTCGATGAGATGAATTATAAAGATCTTCTGAAAAAAAACATCAAAAGGTTGCATTTTGATGCCCCACCTCATCTTCTTGATATCTACCCAAGAACCTCTCATCACCATGGTAGAAAACCTGAATCAATTGAGGTTAGTATTAGCTATTTCCTGAGAAGATTAAGGCTGTCAGACAGAGCTCTGTCAACTTTCCTCTTCTCCCACTCTGTCCGTATTTTCATCTGTCCCCTCCTCCCTTCTTGTCTCAGAAGGAAAAGCATCCCTTCTCTGTTCTAATGATAGCCCCTCATCTGAAGTCCTCAATCCCACCCTCTCATGTTCATCTGAGTTCTTGGTTTAGCACGTCTCCATCCTCTCTCTTGTATATTCCCTTTCTCCCTCTCTACTGGTGCCTTCTGGCTTTTCACAGCTTCTTTCCTTTCTTTGCTTCTAGATCCAAAGCTTCTCTAAACGCATCTATTTTCCCTCAGAGTAGCTCTTGCACCAGCTGCAGTGAGATCTCGAGTGGCTACAGAAATGCTTGCTGTCCCCATTTTCTGCCATCCTGTGTCACTTCTTTTCACTGCCAGGCCCATCCGATGAGTCGTCTAGACTTTTTTACTGCTCCATGTCATTTGCTTTCCACCTTGATCATTCTCGAAAAGGGTCCCCTGGACTTCATTGTTACCAAATCCATTTGCCTTTTCTGAAAATTCATCTTTGTTGACCTCTCTGCATTTGACACAGTTGATTCACTGCATTCTTCTATAGCTCTTTCTTCCCCTGGTTCCATGGCAAAATCCTTATGGTTCTTACAAGCAGTTTGCTATAGCAATTCTCCAAGAGAGTTATTAGCCAGAAAGGATAGATTGAGTATGTCACTTATGGTAAGAAAGGAGAGCAGGAAGAACTCAGAGCGCAGATAGTAAGTACCTTCCATACTACGTAAGCAGTGTGCTCAGCACTTAGGATACACAGTCAGAAACAGAGCACGACCATGCTTAAGATGCAGGTTGGTCTTCCCCTGAGGAGAAAAGCAGAGGGGCTTAAGGAATGCATTTCCGTTCTCTATATTATCAGGGTTATCAGGAATTAGGTGGGGGGGGGACAGAAGAATTGTTTCAGTGTCAACAGAGGAAAAGTTAATAAGCAAAGGGAAATTCTGACCTATGTTAGGCGCTTGGAGGGTGGTGTGTCACACATAGAAGAAAGGGAGGAAGGGCCTCTGAGCATGTGAAGCTAATGAGCAAATATGAGGCTGTTCTGCATCCCAGGAAGCCGGGTCCTCTGAAGCAACAGCAGCTGCTGCTTATGCTCTGATGAGCTGGGTCTACAGGTGCCACCAAGTAAGCGTGACCCGTCGCTCAGAGGACACGAAGGCAGCTTTTTGCCAACCCAGTAAAATAAAGAGAAGTCGCTCACTGCTTATCCGGGGTGTGGATCTAACACATGCCAGTGAACCTCTCAACACTAAAGAGTCCAGATCCTTGGACAAAAATGCTGCAGACTTTTGGGACACGTAGGGTATTAGCAGTACTGCTGTCAATTGAATGAAAGAGGTTTAGAAGAAAAGAGGCAGCTTTAGGAAGTGGATGGCTAGTGAAGAAAAATTCAGCTAAGAATGGGGTTTGGGTTTCTGGACCATGGTTTAAAATAGAGGTTCTTATGCTTCTTGGTGTCATGGACCCCTTGGCAGTCCCATGAAGCCCAAGGAGCCCTGCTCAGAATTGTATTTTTAAATGTATAAAAAAAATACATAAGATTCCAAAGGCAGCCAATTATTTTGAAATAGTTATCAAAAATATATATGCATGTGCATATATATATATATGTATGCATGCATATATATATGTTACATATACATATATACATACATACATACATACACACACATATATATTTTTTTAAACAAGTCCATGTCTTCCAAGGTAAGATCCGTGGTCTAAAATCTAGGAATGATAAGTCCATGGCCAGATATGGAAGGCACCTTATAAGGGCTGGTAAGAATATATTCATCTAGAGTCTTCCAAATCTAATAAAAAGGGGGCTTTCAATTAAAAAAAAAAAAGAAGGCACAAAGGGAAAATTGCCAACATTTATCCATCAGGTTAAATACTACAGAAAATATGTACATTATAGGAAGAAGAACAGTTGAAACATTTGGAAGTTTATAGGAGGAAAAAATCTGAGACAGGAACTGAAGTCAGATAATAATAACCAATAATTAATCAATAATAATATTAAATCTATATAAATCAAAATCAGTCAATAATAAAAACACTTGGTCTCAGATATTTATATGCCAGTGAACTAGAGATCCCAATTCAATATGAGAAAACCTAGGAAGCAGAGAGGCGAAGTGTAGAGGTGGATATTTGAGGGAAGACTAACAGAGAGTGTGCTATAGATCACCTAGATAGATGGAGAAATGGATGAGGAGTTTGGGAAATATCCTAAGTCTGGCATGAATTCTTTTATATAGGTAATAAGATGAAACTTAGTAGGTCTAAGTGTAAAGTGTTCCACTAGTGTTCAGCATAAATTTCACAACTACAAAATGGGAGAAGTGTGGCTTTACAGCCAAGGACATTGGTGGAAAGAGTCAGTAACAATATATGACAGCCAAGGACATGAATGCAATTCCAGCCTGCCTTAGGAGACTCAGAGGGTCCTAGAATAATAAGGTCATTGCCTGCCCTGGTCAGATCACATTAAGAGCAGCACATACAGTTCTGGGCTCATTTTAGGAAGGACATGAACAATGGGAGAATCTGTAGGGGAAAACCATGATAGCAAAAGACAGGTGAGATCAGCTGAAGAAACTGGGGAAATTTGACCTGGAGAAGAGAGGCTTAGAAGGGGTATGAGAACCAACTTTAGATATTTAAAAGGCTATCGCATCAAAAGGGATTAGTCTTTTTTTTTTCTTTTTTCCTGCTTGGTCCCAGAAAGCAGAAGCAGTGAGTAGAAGTTGCAGAGAGGAAAATTTAAGGAAAACTTTCTCAACTAGTAGAGCGGTCCAGAAGTGGGGGAGGGGCTGCCCCAAGAGGAAGTGGGCTCCCCGCTCAATGGAGGGCTTTCACCACTGGCCAGGTGAGTTATGGGTGGGAGTCCTGTTCTAGCACATTTGTCAGGAAGACTCCACGTCCTCTGACATCCCTTCCATGTCAAAGTTTTCTTAATTCTATAGGAATGAAGGGAAAGCGTTTCAGCAGTTAGCGCTGGTTCAATAATATGCATCCAGAAGTCAGTTCTATTATTTACCTCTCCTTTAGCATAAATATGAGAAAGAGGAGAAAGGATCATCAGACTCTTAATTTACCAGTCTAATAATATTCTCTGGAGACAGCTGGCACAGGAGCAGAGAACATCTACCAGCAGGGGTGAAGAACCTGTGGCCTCACTTGAGGACCTAGGGGGTCTCAAGGCTGAAGGTTCCTCACCCCCACACTAGAGCCTGTCCCCTCCAAATCCTTTCACTCATCTGCATGCTTCTTACTCTCCGTAGCGTGAAAGAGTCTCTTCTACTGATTCTGTTCCTAGAATGCTTTGGTGACGTAAGGGACCTCAAACCTATGAAGCGTGAGCTCTTAACTTAAGTGGCATTGTTAGGACGTCATAATATTATCGGGCGTTTGGCAGGATTACATGGAGTTTTTCTTTAGATTACATGTTATTTTGGTTGCCTTGCTAGTTAAATGCCTTTTAGATTGTGATTTGGAGGCCTTTTAGTGCACATCTCAACATTTATGCAGCAATTAACATTATAAATAAATCATTTTGATTTTAAAAAGTTAATAGCTAGTAATAACAGCTAGCATTATATGTTACAAAAGTTTACAGAGTGCTTTACAAATATGAATTCATTGGTGCTCCTTGCTCAGAGGATATGAAGGCAGCTTTTTGCCAACCTAATAAAATTAAGAGAGGTCACTCACTACTTTCCCAAGGTGTGGATATAATACATGCCAGTGAACCTCTCAACATTAAAGATTCCAGATCCTTGGACAAAAATAGTGGAGACTTTTGGAACACTGCCAAATGAATGAAAGCCCTGGGGGGGGGGGAATGCTATTATTAATTATTGTTCCCATTTTACAGATGAGAAAACTGAGGCTGAGAGGTTCTGTGACTTGCTCAGAATCATGCAGCTAATAAGTGTCTGAGGCTAAATTCAATCTCAGGACTTTCTGACTCAATGTCCAAAGCACTATCTACTATTCCATCTTATCAATAAGTCAGTAAACATTTATTGTTTTTGTTTTTTATTTTGGAGGCAATGGGGGTTGAGTGAGCTGTCCAGGGTCACACAGCTAGCTAGTAAGTGTCTGAGGCCGGATTTGAACTCAGGTCCTCCTGACTCCAGGGCCAGTGCTCTATCCATTATGCCACCTAAATGCCCCCTCAGTAAACATATATTAAGCCCCTACTATGTGCCAGGCACTAAACTCTGGGGATACAAAGAAAGGGAGAAGATTGTCCCTACTGTCAAGGCTTACAGCCTAATAGGAGAGACATGTCAGTAACTACATTCAGACAAGCAGTATACAGGATAAAATGAAAATAATCGCTAGAAGTAAGAGAGATTGGGAAAGGATTCCTGCAGAAGGTGAGATTTTAGTTTGGACTCATAGAAAGCCAGGAGGTCGAGATGAGGAAGGAGCACATTCCGGACGTAGGGGATGACCAGGGAAAGGCCCAGGAGTCGGGAGGTGGAGTGTCCGGTTGTGGAGCAGCCCAGAGGCCAGTGTCACTGGACCAAAGAGTACATGTTGGGGGGTAAAGTGTAAGAAGACTGGAAAAGCGGGAGGGCCGACTAAGGAAGAGCACTGACCAACAGAGGCTTTAATATTTGATCAAGGAGGTGACAGGGAGCCAATGGACTTATTGGGGGGTGGGGGGACGACACATAATGACTTTAGGGAATCTCGTGGGTGACTGAGCGGAGGATGGACTGGCTGGGGGAGAGACTGGAGGCAGGCAGAAGGCCCGGCATGGAGGTGATGAGGGCCTGCACCAGTGGGGTGGCAGTGTAAGAGGGTGAGGAGTCAAGGGTGATACCTAAGCTGCAGGCCTGGGTGACCAGCAGGATGGCAGGGCCCTTGATAGTTACAGGATAGTGAGGAAGCAGGGAGGGTCCAGTGGGGAAAAGA